TTATAGAAAATTAAGAAATAATAAAAACAATAAATAGTGATAAATAGTAGCTGCTGTTTAAAGAAGTAAAAAAAGTGCTGCATTCTGTAAAGATGTTTAAATAAAATTGTTATATATATAATATTTAACAAAATGACTGTTTACATTTTGAATTATACGTTTTTTATACATTTTCATTTTCTACATAAAATGCAAGTTGTATCAATAGTTATCGGTACAACATTTTGCATAAATGTAAGTACAAAGTTATCATTTTACTCCGAATGAAAACCAAATAGTTTTGCTTTATGCACGGTTATTATTAAGTGGAAAGGAAAGGAATCGATAATAACTTCAACATGTTTGTACATTTTGATACGAATACAGCACTTTTTAAAAGCAAATATATATTAGGTTCTAGTAGTCTAGTCAGTAGGAAGCAATACCGGCCGCGCACAACTGACAACGACTTTAATATTCAAATTTTCCGCCATTTTTTACCCAACAAAAACAATCAAACTTCGCTCAAAAAAATCTTTTGATAAGTAAAAAGATAGCTGTTAAGTTAGCATAATCATGCGAGATCTTGTTCTGGCATATTGTTCCCGAAATAACATTCCGAAAACTGTTTTAGAGGAACTCAGGAATTGAAAATCAGTTTTGGCATTGTTGCATTTTTCCATCCATGTCTTTTTTGTAATTATAGAAATTTGAGATTGCATGAAACAGACATTATCTATAAACGTGTATCGTTGATTTACTAGTTAATAAATTTGTTTTATTGAAGTATCATTGAATTTTGTAAAATCATTTTTGTTAGCAGTAAAAGAATTTACAAAAGGTTACATGATATGAAATTATTATTTGGCAATATACTGTCCAGCTAACACATACAAGTAAAGTAATTGTTTACCATTACTTAATATGGTGTTAAAAAATATTAGAACATGATCTAATTACACAAATCTAATGGAAACGTGCAATACATTCCACTCATAATTGAAATAGGTCGTTTTTGTACTTGCAATAAATTAATATTTTGTACCAAATTAATATCTGATTTCTTTGAAGTTATGTATGATGGTAAATAATTACTGTTTATAAATTACAAAACTGTCAACAAATGTATACATTGTGCGTATGAGCATATTGAATAAAATATTATGCAAACTATAAAATTAAAGTTCTTTTATTTATATTTATTCTAGTTCCCTTAATTTACATTTGTTTAAGACTTCTTTGGACGTTCTACATCCATTTGGAAAATATCTGTACCAGTCATTTCAGCCCGAATCCTAGCTTCTTCAGGTGTCAATGCTTCATATTCATTGGGATTTAATGGTTCACCATCTGGGTTTAATTGACCCTCTTTAAAATCTTTTTTAATTTTATCAGCATACACTAAATTAAATAAATCTTTAGCAGTATATTCACGTTTCTTGACATTTGTAACTTTATAAGAGACATATGGCTTTAAATGAAAATTTTCCAGGGAAGGAACAATAAGCTCCGGTATCATTTCTGGTATGTTAACCCAATGATTGTTTACCCATTTCCCCGTTATCTTTACACCTCTCCCTGAAAATATTTGTTAATTATCATACATTTACCATTGTAATTATTAAAGAATGCACATAGAAGATATTTTTATACTTGTTATTGTATATCATATTCAAAGACCAAAATTACATACTATCAATAGGAATATCGCAGTTTGGATCCTTGGCTCGTGCTTCTTTATATGCACGACTACCTCGCTTATTGAATATCTGTATCATACGAAAATTTCGTTTACCATGACATGACGCTGATGTTGAAATTTGTCGAGTTACAACCATAAACGTAGATGCCATTTTATTTTTTACAAGAAGAAAAATTATTTGATTCGTATACAAAATTCTAAAACAATGATCAACTTTTTTTACACATTCCTTATTCCTTGGATGGAGAAACAGAAATTATGACTTAAAATTATAGGTTATATTTTGTTTTCGTTATTTGATACTTAAAGATATGAAATATTTCTTATTCGATTAACATTATAATTTTACTATCATAGTGTATCATAGTTAGTGTATCATAAATGTACGAAACAATTCTAAACTCACTTTTTTTAATAATATTTGAAACGAAAGTTTAAACAAGATAGTTCAGCTAACTGGAACTACCTAAGTATCTGCCATACTTATTGTTGAATGAAATACCTTCTCAGGATAAAGTTATACTATTTCAAGAACTACATGTAACAGTAGAAATAGTTTCCTCGTGATAATTTTTTACAGCATTTCATTGTCATCGGCATTTTGTTAAATAAGATAAAATATATTTATTATTGTTGGCAAAGATGGCAAAATTAAAAAATCGACATTTTTCGGCTCGTAGACAGATTTTTTTAACGTTTGAGGGCTCGAATGAAAGTTTAGAACCCAAAGAAATAGTTAAAATTAGTTTTGTCCAAATATTCTTCCTAGTTTCTTAATTATAAGTAAATTTTAAAAATCGCCCAATCTACAGACAGCGAAACACTGCAACCACCTAGTGGTGAAAAATGAAATTAATCTTTCTATTAGGAAACTAAAAAGTCAAGTGTCTTGATTTGTAAGGCAAATTTTTAAACTATTCAGAAATGAAATAATAATTGTAGTTCTCTAAGATATTCTCTGTATAATATTATACCGATTACGTAATTAATTATTTATACGTATTTACTAATAATATGCAATTAATGCAGTCTTAAGTCTTAGACAAGAAAGTCACATTTCCTTAAATCTTGCAAGGCATATCATAACAGCGGAACACGCTGTATGAAACGTTTTCTCTATATTTTCATATCGCATTCACGTGTACAGTAACACATACGTACAGTAACATTTATTTGTTTCGTTTTTATCTTTATATCTTTATATCTCTATGGTTCTATAATAATTAATTATTATTTTCTTGCTTATAACATATTTATTAACTTTATTATGAAATTTATTATCAAATCAATTAACCGAAGCATGTGTTTTAGACTTAATAACAGTAGGGAAATCCAGAAATTTGATATTACTGCTACAAGCCTATCTTAAATATTCATAAATAATATACAATAAGGTTATTATATATAAATACCTGCTACCTGTCCAGTTAGATTAATCTCCATGAATTTATACTGCTTTTCCCATAGATTTTCGTATAGACGAGCGATGACGAAGGAGATTAAAGATCGAATAAAGGAAAATTCTAGGTAAGTGCATATTTTATTTATATAACACTTTATAATAACGCTTATCGATATTTCTATAGCGGTAGTGCGATTCAAGGATATTACCTTAAAAAATGAATTACTCTTCCTACCCGACGTCTACACCTCATACAATGTAATCATTAGCAGGTCTTGGTCAACGCAAAGTGCATCACCAGTGTTGGAGTGTTGCCTGCCAAAGGGGCAACTTAAACCAACGGAGAAATTAAAAGAGTCTTTAAATGATTTTAATCTTTAATTGTCGGGATTATTTAATTCCAGAGATTTTAGACGATGGTGTTGACAAAAAGAAAATAACTGGCGAATTAAAAATCGTTCTTAAAGAGGATAAGATAATCAATTACCGTCTGCATCGATTGTTATCGATTGAGCGCAAAAGAATTTTTGAAGGACGGTATTATAGGCAAAAGCGTTTTACCATACCCGAGTCCGATAATTCTTGTTAAAAAAAATTTCTCAAAAAATGAAAAAAGATTTCTTATATCATTTCATATTTTTTCTTCATGCTTCCATCAATCAATTCAAATAATCGATTATAATCCGTAACACATTTTGGTTTCCTAATCATTTCTTTTGTGCGATAATGAATTTTCATGTCAATGAATTCTTGAGTGTGAAAACATTATACACTTTCTTTTTGTTACACTATTTCATGGCTATCAGATGATTTCAATTTATAGGGCATGCCAGTTATTTTCGTAAATTTGTACCTGCAATACCAAGCTTACAGAAAACGACGAACCATGAGCCTGGGGCACCGAGCAGAGGAAGCATGGAAATATGTAAAATTGCTATTATAATAACCGTTACTTGTGATATTCGATCCTGCTAAAGAAACAAAATTACATAGAAAAGCGAGCTCGATAGGCTACGGGGTTATTCTATTTCAAAAGATGAACGGAAAGCAACGAGTATTTGCATATTCAATCGGGGGGCAACGACGGAGGAGTCCAAGTATCAATCGTATAAGCTCGAAACAATACCGATACTTGATCGATATTGATGCTCAAGTCATACTGGATCTTTAATTATGTTTTTTGTCTTTACAAATATATTGTTATTTTATGAATTTGGACCTAAATTAATATATGCTACCGGAAAGAAAATGAATACCCCGTAGTTTTAGTTCTTTCAATGTATAGGTACTGCACCATGCGACCAAGTACTGAGTTTCACTAAAATTAGCATGTACAAGAACCTATAAAATTAGGGATCTAGCCTGTTTGGTTGTAGTTACTAGCATAGACAAGAACCTATTAAGTTCCACGCTACAAGAACCTTGTACTGTTCTACGGTAAAGTGCATACCTACTTTTCTATCCAAGATAATTAGTAATAAAACTCTTTAGCCAATTATCATTTGTTTCATTGCCTTCTATTAAGGCATTATGTCCACTCCCTATGTGCCCTAGAATACTAGAGTTCTTCACAAAAACTGCAATGATATATGTGTGATGTATAACCCAATGTAGTCGCTAACGACCTCCTATTATTACGCAATTAATACGATTATAAATAAGCAACACAAACGAACAATTCCCAGGACTTGAACTATTTAAATTATTTATTACGGTAGTATAAACTACCTGTCTGATCTTGAATCAGAGAAAAAGGGACAGGATTTGAAAACGGAAACGAAAAAACAAATCAATGTTCTAGTGCCAATCAAACTAAAAAAAAAAAAAAACAGATTTCCGGAATTTGGCATTAAAAAACCAAGTTGGTAACTCTGTATTATGGAACACTACCAGATTAAAGGAAAATGGCGGATCAAAATACTCCCATTGCCACTATCTCTTCATCGCATCTACATATCAATGTAACCAAATAATGTTGTCTTTACTGGTAGTATGCGTAGAGACGTAAAACGAGTGACATAACCGACGTAGGGGTAGAATGACATTAGGGGAATGTGGAAAATTTTTCCTGGCAACCCTGAATCGCCTCCATGTTTTAAAAGAACCTTTACCGAACTTTACTGCTTCAGTGTATGATGGCAGAGAGGAGGTAGCCATTAAGAGAATAAAATAACATAAGTATTTGAAACCTTTTGAAATTCCTAGAAATGACGTTATTTTCTAAAAAAAATCCGAGAGTAAAACACTTGTCGACCAAAATAGCGACTTTATATTAGGAAAATGTAATAGCATAGAGGATGACATAATTTCGGCGAGTCTTGGAAATTACGTCATATTCCAAGAATTTTTCGAAACCGGAATTAAAACCGAATTAATTAACCATTTCCCGATCTCATTTTTCGATTTTTTGTGAGTTTTTGTGGGGTTGGGCAATCAGAAATTGTAAAATGCTGTTCAACTATTCTGACTTATTGAAACTCTTTCTAAATATATTCTATATAATTTTTTTCCAATAAATAATCTCATTTTTTATTGCATTATATCATCATTTCTAAAAAGATCCTTGCTACTGACTACTGCTGACTATTTGTGGTATCCTGATGTTTTTGTCCTCAAAGTAGCTTTTTCTGTAATCAATACGGAAAAGGAGCAATGTTTTTTCTATTATTTGATTAAACTTTAAAGCTATTTTTATGTCTTATCGCCTTTAGCCTTCGATGATCGTAAGTACGAATGCAAATTTCTGTTCTCGTTGTGCATGTGCACGTTTTTCCCACCAAGAGCACCAGAGAAAAAATGTGTCTATAGTTCGGCCGTTGTCAGCTAGAGGCTCGTATTCTTAGTGCGCATTTTTTAACATTGCATCTGTGATCTCGCTATTCATCTCTGATCATTCTAATACATACATATGTACATATCAATGGATTGTATTATTAATCATCGTAATATTTATATTAACGTAATCATTAAAAAATGCATCAGTGTTAATCGTTAGAAATATAGTTGTTGAGTGGGTGTAAAGCGAATACGCCTATCATAAATAATGATAGAAAAGTAAGTAGACAATACGAAAATATTTCATATAATTAATAATTGAGTAATTATTGCCAATTGAAATAATATAAAAGTGAAATCATATTATGTATGTATAATTTAAGCTTTTTAGTATATATGAATTTGAGTTTAAATTATTGCAATATCTGTTAATTTATTATATGATAACATATATTGAAATGTATTTGAATCCTTGCTTAATCTATTTTCCTTGTATTTTATTATTATTTTATTTTCCAGATGGAGTAATATTTGGGAATATATATATGCATTTCTAAACTCAACTACATTTTGATTGTATATAATGTGGAATTTTTTATGTAGATATTTTTGTACATTTTGGATTATCTATTTACATATGCTGATTTTATTAAAAGTTTTTCTTAAATAACATCTGTGTATATCTATATACAAAGACATAGAATATAAATTGCTCATATAAATTATAATTTATTATAAATTTATTATATCATATTGTTCAATATACAATGTATCTTAATTATAAAAAAAATACAAAGCATTGATAATATATTTTATAAAAATGCATTTTTCTATACCAGATACACAAGAATTTATTGATGCAACTGATAATACATATGTGGTAAATATATCTGTTATATTATGTATATTACTGTATATTAATATATTTACTTTATTTTCAATCCCAGGGTTACAACATTCATATAAATGGATTATTTCATTGTACTGTGAGATATAAACAACTACACAGTCTCCATGAACAATTGGCTAGAAATTTAGATATATCTCTCCCAGCATTTCCCCCTAAAAAATTTTTTCCTTTAACAACAAATCAGCAAGAAGAGCGTCGTCTTTCTTTGGAAAAATATATTCAAACAATTGGACAAAATCCAGTTGTTAATAATTCGGGAATGTTAAATGGATTTTTGTTAAATGCTCAGCAAGAAACTATTGGAGGCCCATCTAATAATGAATTTATGGACATTTTTCTTATGAATGGTTGTAAAATAACAATAAATGTTTCTACAGGGGATCATTCTGGTAGTGTTTTAGAGGTAACTTTTGTTGTATGAATATTTATACTATGTATAGAATATATAAGCTAGAAATATGAATTAACATTTTTTATCCAACAGAAAGTATACAAGAGCCTTAGACTACCTGAAGAATATTATTCATATTTTGTATTATTTATTGTTGCTCACGATGAAGCAAATAGTGTTCATTGTAGGTATATCCTTATCATAATATTTCATACATGGTTAATGAATAAATTACTATTTACACATTATTTTTTTTAGTACTACGAAAATTGCAAAACTTTGAATCCCCATTTATAACTATTAAACATCTACACGTTATAGGAAGTAAAGTTGTACTTGGAAAAAATTATTGGGATGTGGGCTATGATTTGAAAATAATGGATAATGAGGTGGCAATGAATTTATTATATATTCAAGCAGTTGCTGAAATTAATTGGGGATGGATTCCCATTACAGATGAACTAAGAAACAAGCTAACAGTCTTAAAAAAGCATGGAAAGAAAAAAGAAGTATATTTATCTATATATATATATTTATTATTTATATATTATATATATATATCGATACAAGTAACGTAATAAACTGTATAAAGAAATTGTCAATAACTAATATCAAATTTAAATGTTATTATTTTAGTATCTGGACATAGTACGTACTTCAAAGTATTATGGATATATTCATTTTGCTCCATGTCTTTGTGATTATCCTCAACCAGATTCAAAAGTATTAGTAGCCATAGGTAGAAATGAATTAAATTTGCGTATATTAAATGATGGAGAACAATGCGAAGAAGTATTTAAAGTCTCACGAATGCGTTGTTGGCGTATAACTACTGTGCAAAATGTAAATTGTAAAAAAAAAACGTATTTTAACATTGCGACGCGTGTTTTAATTTGTTCTAATTTCAGGGATCTGAAAGGGGAGGAGAAGAAAGTGATGAGTTTAGTTTAGAATTATCATTTGAATATTTAATAGCTAAAAATCAATTACAATGGGTTACAATTACTTCAGAACAAGCTATCTTAATGTCTGTATGCTTGCAAGCTATGATTGATGAATTATTATCAAAGACTGTTGATAGTAATAATAAGGCTCAGGTTAATTAAAAATGCTATTTATTGCTAAGAAGTAAAGTCATTTGTATTAAATACTAATTTGTTTATAGGAGGTGTCTCAAAAATCCTGGATTTATGTTATGAGAAATGGCCAGAGTATTACAGTGGGATCAAGCTCTAATGAAGAATCTGAAGAAAGTAAAAAGGTATGATAGGTTAATAATATCTGTATTTTATTTATTAATATTTTTTATATCGTTGGGTTCTATTTTAGAATCGTTGTATTAAACAACCTTCTAAATCAGAACCAATTATGAAGAAACTTGCTGACAGATTATCAGTAGTAAAAATAAAAAAATCTAGTGATGTTAGAAGTAACATAAGTAGCAAGGTTCAAGGAAAACAAACATTGGAATATGATATGGAAAATAATGCATTTCGCATGATCGATGATGACGACTTATGAATATATAAACTGGAACTGTGAAATGAAAAATACATTAGAAATATCTCGAAAAATATCAAATTTTTTAAATCATACTAATCCATATTTTTGCTACTTTTATTTTTAATCCTTAAATGATGTAAAATATAAAACTTAGATATCAATAGATTTGTAACAGTTTTTTTGTATGATATATAAATATATTGTTGATAATAAACAATTTTTTAAATTAATGCAAATATTTAATGAAATAAATAAACAGAACTAAAATAAATTATAGTATATATAATACTTTATTATTGTTCAAATCATATATGTAAAAGGCAGTGTCTTATATTAACATTTGTATTTCATTTTGCTTTATTTTAAATGAAAATTAATATCTGTTATTTTAATACTAAATGGGAGTAATTCATAGGTTACGCTGCATAATGAGATTATAATTCTAACTAGATAGGTAATTATTTGTTTGAAAGACAATTTTCTGCCTTCAGTCTGTATATTTTGCCCAAACATATAGAGAATGGTACAATGCATAAGAAAGGTGTAAAATTAGAATGACTTCCTAAACAAATAATTATAAACTGTAATATAAAATGGTAGTATTTTTCTAATATGAAAAGTAAACAGATTCACTATTGTCCTATGAAATAGACTTCTACATGTGTACATTATATTCATAAATATTATAGATCTCTATTTCATGGACTATTTAAGTTTTCATAGAAAAAAATTTTTATCGCATTTTTTTAGTGTTGGATAATAGATAAATATATGGAAATGCATAACTATTTTTTACAATATTACTTCCACATGTTTTTTTTGCATTTTAATAATACAAGTGGAAGATGAACATAGAAAATTTGTCACTACAAACATATTTATGTTCTATCAAATGTGTAATTCTGTACGAGTAAAATTTATTTGTTTCTGTTAGAATATTGCAACACGCTATATATTGTATGTCGCAGTGAATGGTGCGCACTATTTTTTTCTCGAACAGTAGAGACATTTTTTTTAAAGAACATAACTTAGTTAGTTATCTGCTTTTCTTATTAATGGTGAAACTCAATACTATTGTTTTAATAATCTTGCATGTCATGGTAGGGCCATATAAAGACTAGATATAATTAATTAATATTTGTATCTTTTTCGACCATAATGTGCATATCTTCTATATCAAAAATATGTTGTTATTCTGTATTGTTACTTCCTAAATAAACAGAAAAGTCAGTTCTGGCTATAGCATTTAAGTATTATAAATCTATTTCCGCTACTTGTAAAATAGCCCAACGTCAGCAAAGAATTACTCCACTATATCATAGTATTCTCAACGATACGTACACGCGTTATTGTTATTGTGGTATGACCTATAACATGTGTATTGAAAGCTTTATCAGTACAAGAAATAATGATATGCTGTATGAAAATTCTAAATATGGTAATAATTTAAAAGATATGTTTTAAAAGAATAAAAATTTTATATAAAGCTAAAAAGTATAAGTCTTGCCATTGCGACTATCTCAACAATTTAAATTACTGACTTAACAAATTATTGAAATATCAAGATACGTTCTAATACGGAAGACTAATTTCGGTAAGTTAATTCGTCAAGTATTTCTTCACATTGAAATATTATCATTCTCATCGTAATCTTGCATGGTACAATGATACTACTACAAAATTTCCAATTTGTATTCACAAAACTTTAAAATCATTCTGTAACTTAATTATATCAATAGATAAACGCGTAATATACCTATGGCAGTTAAGGAGGAATAAATTCTTCAATATGTTCTAAGTTGTTCACTTATCTGAAACTGCTTCAAGTAAACAATACATTAGCATATATGACTACATATATAAATATATTTTCGGGATAACTTCCATGCATATATTTCGTATGAGTGATGATACTGATAATGTAATATTATCGATAAAATAAATGGCATAATACGTGACTAGCGTAAGATGAAAACCGAATACCAATTTCACATGGACGCTCATCTAATTTCTTTTTACATCAAAAACAAAGTTGCAAACATGGCATAATTATCTTCATTTGTTTTTTTAATCTTTTAGTTTTAATTCCTAAAAAAAGATGTTGAAGAAATTTTATAATATTTCTATAAGATATCCATAATAACAGTATATATGTAAACATAATGATAAAAAATTAAGTATAATTACTTGCTCACCTAAATCATGTATAATAATTTACATTGGTGACGTGAGGCTATTGGCTAGTATTACTCGTACTTGATTCCCAAGGAGATAAACATTGTTTTGAACATTGTCAAGAAGAAAATATTTTTAATCGTTATTAATCATCGTTTATCAGGTAGATATTTAGTTAGTAAACAATGTTGTTCTCTTTGATGAAACTAAGAACGAGATGAATAAAATCTATTCATTTATACAACTGTACACCCTTTATCTATCATCATCACACTTATTTGCATAAAAAAAGTAACCAAACTGTTAGAAGTTCTGCTGACGTTTTCGCTTGGTATCCATAGCGTCAAGAATCGGTTGTCTCTTCGTTTGGTACCTTCTTCTCAGCTCATCAATTTCTCTTTCCATTTCCGCATCCAGATTAGCCATTCGTTGCTGTAGTTCCTCGTATGAGAGAAACTTCAGCTGCAGGATATGGTTGTTTATCTATATTCAAGTTCTTTTTAATGATGCCTAAAGTGGCACTATATCGATCGACTTTAAGTTAAAAATGTACTAAAAATACTGGGAAAGTTCTTAATCTACTTTCAATCTTCTGTGAGAATTTGCAAGTGTCTATTACTTACGAAGTCGAAATCACGTTCTGTGAAGACATTTTGGAACTTGGATATGTTATTATGAGGTTGTTCTTGTACAGGGTGAGAAATTTGGTTAAGTTGTAATTGTAGGTGACTTTGAAACCTCTGAGATTCTGTAGGGCTTCGTAATTCTAATTTATTTTCATTATCTTGATTGTGTACCCCAAGTATTTGTCCATTTCCCTAAAGATTAAGAAATTAATTTCGTGCATGTACATTTTACATAATATAATCATCAACTATAATACATTTATTACTTTATACCTTTCCTATTTCAGGTGCTTCTTTCTTATCAAAATGATCTAAAAATAGTGGCCGGTATTTTTTTCCGGATTCCACTGACCCTGTATTGTGTCCTATGAATAAACGATATTTGTTATTTTCCTTTTTAGTGTTTCGTCATTTCATTACATTACGTGCTTACGTTTCATAGTAGCTTCGGTATCGGTGTCACTATTAATAACCATTGTTCCCAAATCTAACATTGCTGAAACAAGTGTACCCGTATCTGGAAGATCATGACTCGGTACTAAAGTTCCCGTGTCTTCTGGCAGAGGTTTCATTGTTCCACTACAGTCTTCTTCATCCTTACAATAGACATCAAATGTTTATTATTAACATTAGTATACACACACACACACACACACACACACGCGTACACGCATACATAGCATTCATAATAAATCTCAATATAAGTACCGAATCTTCTGCCTGATTTTGATTTTTAATTGCCACATTATTTATAACATGAGCACGATGTACACTTTGTTTTTCTCGTATTTCATGAGCTTCTGCAATCATCTGACTCAGAATACTTGGTTGCTTGGCATTGCCTGTAATAAAATACCTTATTGAATAATACATGCAAGAAAACTAGAGCAAATTTGTTTCATTATCATAGATTTTACCTATAAATTCATGATTTAGCAACTCAGTTGCAGTAGCTCTTTCTTCTGGATTTTTAACAAGGCACCCACTGACAAAATCTATAAATTCAGGACTCCATTGATCAGGTTCTCTAAAGCTAGGTGGTGGTTTAGTTGGAATCATAAATATTGCTCTCATTGGATGTATATCACCATATGGCGGCTTGCCTTCTGCCATTTCTAAAGCAGTTATACCAAGAGACCATATGTCTGCGACACAATCATATCCAATTTCCTGTATTACTTCTGGAGCCATCCAAAATGGAGTTCCTATAACTGTATTACGTTTTGCCATTGTATCCTAAAAGAAATTTTCAAAATTAATTCCTACTTTGATTAATAAAGTGATTTATCATATATAGCGATAAATATTATGTTTTATAGCTTACAGTTAATTGTCCTGCTACTCCAAAATCAGCTAATTTTGCATGTCCTTCATTATTGAGTAAAATATTTCCTGCTTTAATATCTCTATGTATTTTTCTTCTCAAATGGAGATATTCTAAACCTTTTAAGGTATCACTGAGAATCGTTGCTATTTCATCTTCTTGAAGGGTCTTCTTCCTTAACCTCATAATATCACTAACAGATCCAGCTCCACAATATTCCATTACAATCTATGAAACCATATCTTGATTATATACAAGCAAGGAATGAATAAAAAAATATTATTTATTATATTATCAATGTTACCCATAAATCAGTGTTTTTAAAGTAACTTCCATAATATTTAACAACATATGGAGAATCACACTGTTGCATGATAGAAATTTCTTTTATGATTTCTTGTAAATCTGTATCAACAGGAACTTGTTTAATAGCAAGTACCTGTCCACTTTCCTTATGTAATGCTTTGTAAACTGATCCATAGGATCTATATGAACAAAACATAAAACAAACACTATAAAAACAATTACATAAAAAAAGATTTCATTAAAGATTAAATGCCATTTTATATCTTTATCCACTTACCCTTCTCCCAACTTGCATATTATATCAAATACTTCTTCAGGTTGTCTGGTTAAACTTTCTTCAGACAGTTTTTTTAATTCACTAAAAAAAGAAATTGTAATATCTGATCAAAGATAAATATGATACTTGCACATAATATGTGAAAATATACAAAGAAATAATACTTGGATTTTTTTTTTAGTTTCATTATATGCAATTTGCATTTTTTTTTAAACAAGGTATTTATAAGATAAGTGACATGCTACATGTAAATGCGTTATTTCTATTAAAATCGAACTATAAGTGCATTAGACAAGCAGGTTTGTCGGTTATAAAACAAATTAAAAGACGCGCAGAACTAATATTTTCTAGATTTATTAAAAAAA